GACCTGACAACGGAGAGGTTCATCTTGGCCTTCAGACGCTTCATCTCTCGAAGAGGAGTGTGTCGTGTTGTGCTGACTGACAATGCTCAGACATTTCGCAGGGCCGACAAGGAACTCGGAGAACTTTGGGACTGCATACGGAGAGAGGAGGTTTCTGCTGTGTTCGCGTCCCTCCGTGTGCAGTGGAAATTTATTGTTGAGAGGGCTGCCTGGTGGGGCGGGTTTTGGGAACGGATGGTGCGATGCGTCAAGACTGTTCTAAAAAAGGTCTTGGGTCATGGGTTTCTGAAATTCGAAGAACTGAGCACAGTGTTGACGGAAGTCGAGGCTGTACTAAATTCCAGGCCTCTAACGTTCGTCTACGCTGAGACATCCGAACCAGACCCGCTCACACCAGCGCATTTTCTTGTGGGGAGACGACTTACGTCGCTCCCTTCATCCGAACGTCGCCTCGTCTCTGAGTCCAGCGCCGCCGACATTCAGAGGCGCTGGAAACACAGGCAGGCGCTTGCTGACCAGTTCTGGAGAAGGTGGCGTCGGGAGTATTTAAACGAATTACGTTCTGCGCACCACTCCCGACCCACCAAGTCCACTGGACTTAAAGAAGGAGACATTGTAATCGTATATGAACATTTACGGCCACGGCAGAATTGGTGCACGGGCCGTGTTGTCAAACCTTTCCCTGGGCGCGATGGACGCGTGCGTTCATGTACAATAAGGATCCCCCATGGAAAGGTCATTAAACGACCGGTCCAACTTCTGTATCCGTTAGAGTCTTTGAACTAATGAGCAATTGTATGCTCATTGCGGGGGGAGATGTTTGTAGAATATTTTTACGTTATTGTTTTGTTCGGCCAGACTCGGTGGCCCCGCGTTTCGAAAACGAAGTGAACGTCGCAAAACACAAACAGGCCTTCGTTCGGGTATCTGCGGTTCCCAGGCCCCGGAATGTGAGGGGGGTCATAAACGGAGGGGCGCTCCTGGCCTTCGGCTCGGACACATCTGGAACGCATCGCACCACCCCGCCTCTCTCTCCCCCCTTTGCTGTTGTTCTCTCTTTCCCTTGCCAGTGTCGGTGACTTTGTCCTTTGTATTTGTACAGAAATAAACCCGTGTTCTTTTCTCAACGAAACGCATCGGACGCTTCCTGACGTTCTCCTACGAACGCAACGAGTTTAAACTTAACGTAAATTCAGTCTTTTATACATAGAAGTTCCCACAAATGTCCCGCGGAAGGGGCACATGCGTCTCCTTTTTAGAGTGCCGCTTGTGCTTCTTATATAATTCCCTCGAGCGCTTGTTGTGGAACCGCTTCAGGACATGAGTGTCTGCAAACAAGGGGGTGCATTTGCGGTCCCGATAGTGAATTGCTAGATGTCCTGCTGGTGAGGACTCGCTGGACAGAGCGTGCTCTCGCCGCCTCATATTCAGTCATCTACCCGTTTGGCCAACATAGACTTTTGCACGTGCAAGAGATATCTGATAGATAACCCCTGCAAGGCAGTTGACGTATTTGTTTGTATGCTTCACGACACAGTCTTCGTGGTTTTTTGGCTCGGAATTAATCTTGGGGCAAAGGTTTTTTTTAAGCTTCTCAGGTGCTGAGAGTAAAATGTGCACCTCAAACCTGGAAGCCATCCTCGTTTTCATTCCTTTCTCTTACATAAAGTATAGTAACTTTTATTTTAACTTGTATTTATTTATAGTAATTTTTTATTCCCTATTCGCAGCTCAGTCTTCTTCCTCGTTTGCTTCTTTTTATATCTCCCACTTACATTTTTCTTTCTCTTGTTTCTTATTCTTGTGTATTAAAACGTGAGTTGCTAGTCGGCGTTCGTCCTGTTCCGCTTCTTCTAGTCGCCGTCCCTAGCGGTGTTTGTGCCTATAATGTTTAACCAACTAGCCCTACAGTTCATTTTGCTATCGATAATACTATCGACAGTATACTATCGATAATTGAATAAAGATTGTCGACTATCGTAAAACTATCCATAGAATACTATCGTGTCGACTATCGTGAAACACGATAGTATATTATCACAGCCTATTATTGTGAAATAGTTTTGCAGTCGAATATCGAGAAACTACCTATAACCAACTATCGTAAAGCTATCAATAAGATTTTATTACGTGACGAAGAACATCAGGTGTCCATCCAGCAAATGTCGTCTAGCTCAGAGAAAAACGCGACTGCAATTAGGGACTTCCGTATAATTATCGAGGAACAATCTAAAACCTATTAGGAAGCAATCAGAAATCGGTAGAAACTCTCATTAGAAACTGTTGTCAATGAAATATGAAAAATATCGATTGTAGACCATTGAAAAAAAAAACTACGAATAAAAGATATCAACTTGATAGGTTGTCGAAGTTGTTTTGCTGTTTTAGATTGCTTTCTGGGCTGTGCACTTTTCTTTTTATGGGCACAGCTTAATAAACAAAATGAAAATCCCTGTCGCCCCTGATAAGTAAACTACGTGTTGTATAAATCCGGAACTCTGCTGGAAATATGATGCTAGCGATGGTGATCAAATGCGGAAGTTTGGGGGATATGACTTCACCCGAATGAAAAGATAGGTGTGATGTTTCTTTCAGACGAAACAAGTTGCGAGAAAGAAAGGAAACAGTACTGCCTTTCGAATTCTCATGCTTTCCTCACAAAAATAATGCCCCACTGGCAACAATATCGTTTTTCGTTATGTTCCCCAACTTACAGTATTTATAGAATGGAAAAACTAAAAGCATCAGTAATCAACCCTGTTGGCTTGGTAAAAGCTTTTCATCTGGTCGCGGTTCAATTTCAAGTCTCCAGAAAAAAATCTCTGTTACAATTTGATTTATTCAAAAATATTCATTACTGGATTATGTGACGGCTTCTGCATTTTAAATTTGTAGTTTATGCCAACAGGTAATTTTTTTGCCAGCCGCCGTTTTAAAAACCTTCCAGAATAGAACCTAACAAATAGTGGCAACATAGTATCACGTAATTCAAGCCTGACTGCTTTTGACAACATATAATTCCCGATTTTCGGGACCACGCTATGAACGATCATCCGCAGAAAAAAAAAAAAGAAAGCAAAAATAGAGTTATGATTCGCAGCATAGTGCTTATTTTCACTTGTCAGTGGCCAAGACTAGGAAAAGTAATATCGGGCAATTGAGTAATAAAGGAAACACAAACGTAAAACAAACTTGCGATAACCCTGATGCTAAATATATTTAGCGAATGTTTTCCCTAGCTCCGAGACAAAAAAAAAATACTGAATATATTTTATAGTTTTAAAAAGGCGGGAACACTGAAGTGTGAAGCCTGATATTTGAACTCCATGAATATACAATTTATGTCCGCAGGAAAATTAGCAAAACGCCATTTCTGTTTTCCCTGTAAATTCATCGTATGAGAATGACACTTTACGTTTTGTTTCCTTTAAAATTTCACGCCTTTTTTTTTTTTTTTTTTTGTTTCGAAGTACGCGTTGTTTGCGCGTACATACCCGCCGACATATTCCCTTTCTGGGTAGTGCTCTCGTTTTCGCAACCCTCAACAGTTTTCTGAAAACCGACTGTCGATAGTATCCATAGTCGACCACAAGTCAACTATCGATAGTACTATCGATGCTTCTATCGATAACCGACTATCGATAGTTTACGAAAAACTATCGTTAGTTTTTCGACAAGAAACTACCGATAGTATCGATAGTCAACTTTTCGATAGTTTCGTATCACTACGTACAGACAAGGCAGATCTCTAGGTCCCATCAATACGACTACCCTCGATTTTCTCACGGACGAAACAAAAACATATTTTCGGCAACCCGGGCAATCGTGCTCAGTATACTCTTCATATTCACAAACATGTCGTTTTACGAGAATCAAATAAATAATAAAACACTTAGGGACAGGGACATACAGCGTGCACAATTCTTTCGTCTAGTTTGACACATTAAGAGCGATCCCAGCCTTCCTCAATGTTGTCAGCCCTCGAGAAGAGACGTTATCGCGATTGAGTCTTCGATCACCGTCTCAACTAATGAGGCGCATTGGAGGCAGCCTTCTCTGCCTGATTTGTTTAGCCGATGAGCCCACGGGTAGCGCCACGACCATGCACTAGTGGCGCTGCTCCATAGACATCGTTTCAAACATCCATCGTTTCGGACTCGATGGAATAGAGTCCGCGACGAGATTGGCCAGTCTGGACGCTAAATAAAATAAACTAAGAAAATAATAATAAAAAAGGTTGCGACTCCCAAGAAGGAATTGGATACGCCTCAGGGAGAGATAACCCATTGCAGACGCAGGCTCAGGGCTCTGCGAAAAGGCCAAGGGCGCGCCCCGATTTCCGCGCGCTCCTCTTTCACGCCTGTCCAAAAAAAAAAAAAAAAAAAAAAAAGCTTTTTTTTAGCAAACGAGGTTTTGCACCTTGCAATAAAATTCGACGAAAATATTCGTAGGTATCGGCAAATAACTTCTACGCCACTTTTTTTTTTTTTTTTGCTTATTTTAATTTGCAAACGTTACAGCGTAAAACTCCGGCACTTTCATTTTTAGCCGGTCACGACCTTACGTGATTTTTCGCTTACAGCGAACAAAATTTAGCATACTCTTACGAACAAAGGGACAAAAAATGCGAGATAGAAACATCCTCAAACATAGACGCCAATCACGCTCGCACGCAAACACCAAGACGCGCACGCGAGAGGGCGTCTTGAACGCGCGCTAAAATTACCCTCCGGAGATCCATGCAATAAAACTTGCCCCCGTGCGTTCGCCATCGAGGAAGTGTCTTTTCTTGTTGTTGTTTTCACGAGCGAGCCTGCATGCGCACGTCGCAGACGTCAAGCCATTCAGCGGCTTCGACCACCGCGACCCTGAACACCCGAGCAGAAAAGGCTCCCGGCATCGGCCAGCCGGTACGCCGGTACAGTTACCACGGCAACGGCGCCCGAGCGACGTCACGGAACACGCCACATTCTTTGGACCAATCAGCGGCGCGGAATGCCAACACACCTTTGGCGGCCTTGCAGCGTTGCATTCTTTGCAGCCTGCGGGCGGATACAATGGAAAAAGCGTCTTTATGCCCCGTTTCGAACAGACAGGGGTTCGCGGGAGCCGCTCGCTGTGCACGATAGCGGGACTCGCACGAACGGCGGCCTCGCGTTAAGGCGACCCAAGATACCGCGCGATCAGGCGACGCGGCCAAGATTACGTGTACGGGGAACTCCCACAACAAACGTGACGACATGGATCGCGTCGGAAGAGGTGGAGCGATGGATGCCCACTTGGCACGGCGGCAACAGGAAGGTAGCGGCGGCACAACTCGCGCGCTCAATCAGACTCGCTCGATAACGTCTACAACGTCGTCTACGCTCGCGTCGGAAGGCACGCCAAGAAACGAGCTCCCGAGTCGCCGTGCAAGGAGCTGCAGCGTCGCTTGTTCGCCACCGCGTCGGCGTCGGAGAATGAATCTGTCCTTTTCCGGGTGCGGGTTCCTAGGAATCTACCACGTCGGGGTCGCCAGTGCGTTCAAGGAATACGCGCCCCACTGCCTGAGCAAGATCGCCGGGGCTTCGGCCGGGGCCCTGGCCGCGGCTGGGCTCTGCTGCGAGGTGCCCTTCGGTGAGCCTGTTTACCCGTTGGTGTCGCGTCCTGTATGATCAAAACACCTCGCTCGCTTTTTTTTTTTTTTTTTGTTGAGTACGTGCTTGACTACGCAGATTGACGTACAACGTTTGCGCCAGCGTCGCGCACACCGATTGATTGTTGTTCTCCGACTTGGCGCTGCAGCGGATGCGCTGTAATGTTTATCGTGTAGCGGAGTCTCGCTCTAGGCGGAACGCAAGTTCGTCTGCTTCTTTTGCAGGGGTTGTGGTCATAGGCCTAGACTTCGGGGGGGGGGGGGGGCATCGGGGCTCGTGCCCCCCCCCCTAGTGAAATCCGGGGGGGGGGGGGCAGATCCCCCCCCGGGCCCGGGCCATGACGCTGTTTACGTGCCATGTAACGAGCTTCTTTAGTAGTGGCATGTAAACAAAATAACGCCCACGTTGCATTTATTGACAAAATACATGGGAAATGGAATCCCAGCGTGCTTTCGTTAGCTTCAATCTCCAGTTCTGGCGAAAAGGTAATGTGCAGCCCCCCCCCCCCCCCCCCCCCCCTTTCCCGGAGAACTTCGCAGCCTGCCCCCCCCCCCCCCCCCCCCCCTTTCCCGGGAAAATGGAAAGTCTACGCCGCTGGTTGTGGTGACGTCAGAAAAACGCCGAGCTCTTATTGGCTCTGATTGAAGGATAGTGGGTAGACCTGAAGGCAGCTTGCCTTGAGGTCTCCCCACTATTTTTCAATCAGACTCGATCAGAGCTCGGCGTTTTTCTGACGTCATAGCAACTCCTGCACAGGAAGCAGATGACTTTGCTCTCCGCAGTGCTTTCTTCTTTTTTTTAAGTCAGTTTATTGTAATTCTTTGTGCATATTGCGTCTCTACCATGGACGTCGGTAACCACACATCGTGTAGCCAGCGGTGACTTTCCTGTTTTCGCTACTCGCGTCGAGAGGCGCGCGCACTCGACCTTCGGTTGCATCTGCGAGTGGTTGTTCGCATTTTGACAGCGTCGGTTGACGTACGCTGGACGCCGCGGGTTGTCGCGAGCGGAACCCTTCCTGACTGGCGTTGACAAGTGGCCGACCACGAGGTCTCCCCCATTCTCCCTGCACATGCGTGTTTACGACAACATCGACGGAACCCGCGTGATGCCCGCCTGGCGCCTGTCCACAGTCGAAGCGTGCACGACGCTACGAGCTGGCAGTGGCGACATAGTTTGTGGACCTCGTGCACACAATTTCCGTATCGCGTGGCAGTGTTTTCTCTCGAAATGTCCGTGTTATCTTGCAAAGCTTTTGGAAGCCTCCTCACGTGGATGGACAACCTTCTCGCGGAATGCTATCGTGGAATGCACCCAAACCTGCGCAACAAAGAGGACCTCTCTCTCTCATGCGCTGACAACGCGCCATTTTAGAAGTCGGTAAACAACGCCAAAATTGCGTGGCTTGCGCATTACTATACAAAGGTATAGATAGGCGATATAGGCGATAGGCAGCGGGTGCATCGAGCGCACGGTTTAGACGGACCGTCTTCTTTGGCCTCGGAAAAGGAAACAGACAGTAACCCCAGCAAGCCGTGAAAGCGGCGAGCAGAGATCTTCGGCATGCGCTTCCACCGGAATGGCCAGAGTGGTCACGTGACGGTTCCCCTCCATTAGTTTCCAGAGGGCAGACGCTGCTGAAGGTCAGGGGCTTCGCCCCTCAAGGCACTTCGTAACAGCCGGTGGACGTTAATTACCTTATCTGAAAATAGCGAAGCGATTCACCGTAAAAATGCATTCATTCCCGTTTTTTTCGTTTTGTTTTCACTAAAATTTTGTTTTTTATAATAATAAATTAAAAAAAAAAAAAAGTTTTTTGTCTTAGTTTTGGGTTAAAGCCATCATGAACTTCCACCAGCTCGCCCGCGCACTGTCTATATTTTTGTTTTAATGAGTAAAACATCATTGTGACAGAGTAAAAAAAAGACGTCACGCGGTTGCCATGGCAACCTAAGGTAACTGCAAGGAGAGAAATATTTTTTTTTTTCTGGAGGGGTAATATAGCACACGTATCCCCGCCACACGTTTAGCGCAGCTGGTGGCTTTGCCGCCTTCTGTAGGTCGAGGTTAAAGTCCATATGGAGGAACTTTTGTTGAGGTGGCTCTATACTAGATAGACGGGTACAGACTGTGTACACAGAACACCATTCTCCCTGCACATTCACCGAGCAAAGCAAACCTAAGCAAAGGACGACACTTTCAGGAAAAGTAGAGCGTGTCGTCCTTCGCTTCCCTGCACGCAGTCTCGGGGTTGTTGAAACAGCTCATTCGAATCCGCCCTCCGAATCGGATTCGAACCAGCGTCTTCCCATGGCTGAGAGAAACACACGCACGCTATGAACTCAACTGTCGCCATTCGAATGAATTAAAGGCGGTGTGCATTCCATATTCTTTTTCTACCTTCGATTACGCTGTAGCCTTTCGTGCGCCTCAAGCGCGGACGCCAGAGCACGGCTAAAAGCTACGAGCGCCTTGTGGAGCCGTTCCAAAGAGACGCTGTTATGCCGCAGTCGACGTGTATGGTCCAGTCCGAAGGCCGATTTCAGTTATGGCGCGCTGGCTCGTCGCCTAGACCAAGTACGGATTGGTCACGGGAGCGGAATACAAGAGCGCCAGCGAAAATGGCCCTTAAATTCTCACAACCGCGCACGGCGCCGCTACGATAGCGCCGAGCTGCTGTCACTGTGATGATGCACTGGGATTTTTGCGCGATCTTAGAGCGGAAACTTTGTGGTCACCATAAAAAAGTTAAAAACCAGGATAGAATGACTTTCCAGCGCACGGCAACGTTGGACCGATTCCGTCGTCCATACGAGCCGAGAGCGATGGACACCGAGCGGTAATAATGAACGCGTGGCTTCTTACGTTCACGATTCTTGCTTCATTGACTTGGGAGCAGTGAGAAGATGCCCGCTGTCTATGGGAGGGACAAGTGACCTCACAGTCGGGAACGCGCATCCCAAATCTTAGCTATCGACGGACGGACGCTTTCGTCTTCCCCCAAGTGCGCATCCAATGCCGCGGGGAAGAGATTACTTCCATACATCCGTCACCTCGCGCGCTGCATTCTGGGAACCTGTGGGCCAGGAGCGGAACGCGTATGAATCTTGCTTCCTACTGATTCCCGCGATGCATAACGTGGCATTACGCCGCGGTGAGGCGCTTCCAGTTTCGGAAGAAGTCTATTCGGTTGATTTGGAGCGATTGTTTTGTTGGTATCTTCTTGGGCTTGAGCATGAAGCGATTTCGCTCCAAATCCCCCGAGGGAATATACCTTTCGCTAAATAGACCTATTGCTAAATTACCCAAGCAGCAAGAAGAATGCAGGGATTGGTGTTCCAACGCGCCACACGCGCACGCCTTCCCTGTATAAAAGATTCGAAGCAAATAACCAAAATAAAGCGTTGACGAACGCGCGTGCAAGATGCCATTTGTTTTAGGCATTTGCTTTCGAAAAGTTACTACTGCTGAGACCGCAGCACGTGCAGCGGCGCGTGGCACACCAATCCCTGCATTCTCCTTGATGCTCGGGTAATTTAGCAATAGGTCTACTACCCGAGCATCAAAAAGAATGTTGGGAACGTAGGTACTGGCGCTGCACGTGGTCACCTTCCTTATAGAAAAGATTCGAAGGAAATAACAAAAAGCGTCTGTGGAACGCGCGTGCCATGTTCCATTTGTTTGAGATGTTTGCTTTCCAACAGTTAGAGCTGAAGACGCCAGCGCCTGCAGCCCTTACGCTCCCGGGATTCCTTTAGATGCTTGGGTAACAACCTTATACGTGGTACAGCGTATCCTGCTTTGACTTCCGGCCCAACTTTCGTCAAGCGTGTACGACCTGTCACATTCTCACGAGTGTCCGAATGAGATGGCTGCATTCCGTCGTCCTTTGAAAGCGAAGCTAATAGAACGCTCGCGCTGGAAGGCATCGTTTTTTCTCTCGCCACGGGTCTTTAAACTTTTACATTTAGGGATCTGTCGCAGTTTCGAGAAAACAGAATGATTGTATAATACGAAAAACGAAATAAATAAACCTAAATAAGCGTTTAAACAAATATTTTTTTCTTAAGAGTAAGTATTAAAACCACACACACAGACACACATGGGTGGATGAATACATTTAATTTCATTTAAAACGTAATATTTAGGTGTTTATGGCATCATACACAGCTGTTATTAAGAAAACTTAGCAGGCATAAATCAAAGCGCCTGGGAACTTTGGCACATATCGCGCACTGCATGCAAAAGACTAATGAAAATGATAAAACTAATGCCGACCATATGCAGTAGTTTTGACAGAGGACACTAAACACAATGTACACGATAACGGGAAGGAGCACAGGCACGAAGCAGGGGCCTAACAGTTCTGGTGCTGCTGGGGGCGGTAATAATATGGCGAAGGACCCGCGTTCTAGCGTTTGATTGCTCTCGTTCTTTCTGGTTTGGGCATTTAAAGCGCGCCCCGGCGTCGTTTCTTCACGCGCACTCTTTCTTTTCGCCGGTAGCAGCGCGGCGTTTGGAAGCGTTTGGGAGACTTCCTCTGACCGGGGTTTCGAGAGCCCTGCTCTAGACGACCGTGTACAGCGGTGTCAGAACTGCAGGCGCGAGCCTGAGCTTGCCGTTCTTTTCCACGTGTGTATGAGACGCAGTGACGTAGCCAGGGGGCAGTCCATACATCTTGTCCAGGGTACGGGCGTCGGCGTGCACGGGTCGCTCGGGGGCAGCGTCCAGCTCTCGTCAGGCGAGCGCCAGCGAAGGTCGTCCCCCGATCATGCGATAGCGCGTGACTCGAAGTGAGCTTGCCCAAGCGCGTTTCGCAAAGGGCACCCGCTGCACTCGACGCGCGTCGTCCACACACCCTCGTAAGAACACGCGCTGCAGGCTCCTATTCCTCGCCAACGTGGCCTTCGGCGTCCACATGTCTGCCGCCGCAAAAGGTCGTCGACCTCAGTCATTTTCTTTTCACTTTTTGGAATTTTT